GAAAATCATTATTATGTTTGGCTCACTCAGTACCAGAACAACGGTCCCAAGCAGTCCCAAGCTATTTCACTCACCCCTGCATGTTCTGCATGAATCCACACACCCCTGATGTTATCTGTCAAACTTTCATAGCGAATCAAAACAAACATAGTGTAGTAATAGAATTTCAACTACAATAGGGTACGTTAATCGTTTGCTTGGGACCAATAGGCACTACAGTGGTGAGCCAATTTAAAATCGTTAGTTTCGTATTGATTGTTGGTAATAGTTTGTTGATACCAGACCAATCGGGATATCGGGAAGGTCATTCTTGTGAAACCGCGTTGAATTTGGTATTAGCATAGAGGTAACTCTAAGACCAGAAGGTCCCGAAGAAAATCATTATTATGTTTGGCTCACTCAGTACCAGAACAACGGTCCCAAGCAGTCCCAAGCTATTTCACTCACCCCTGCATGTTCTGCATGAATCCACACACCCCTGATGTTATCTGTCAAACTTTCATAGCGAATCAAAACAAACATAGTGTAGTAATAGAATTTCAACTAGAATAGGGTACGTTAATCGTTTGCTTGGGACCAATAGGCTACTAAAGTGGTGAGCCAATTTAAAATCGTTAGTTTCGTATTGATTGTTGGTATTAGCGAAGTGGAAAAAAAACTTGGAGTGTAAAAATACGATTGTTGCTGTTTTATTTTGGTTCTAAAACGCGCTTTTGAAGCAATTATTATTAAGATCAATCAAGCGCTTTGGAATTACGGGTACTGCATATAAATGGTTTGAAAGCTATTTGTCTGACAGAACTCAACGGACTGTTTTTAATGATTCTGTTTCCAGTGCCGTGGGGAATAACCTTGGAGTGCCCTAGGGAAGTGTATTAGGACCCCTGTTATTTATTATGTATATTAATGAATTGCGACGTGTTTTGCGATTTTGCGACATTAATCTTTTTGCAGATGAAACTGTGTTATTCGTTGCAGCTGAGGATTTAGATGATGCCGTTTTACACTTGAATGAAGATATGCGTTCTCTAAGTAGATGGTTGAAGTATAAGCAGTTGAAATTGAATACAAGTAAAACTAAATTTATGGTAATTTCGCGGAATCGAGGAAATGAGAACGTCTCGGTTGTAATTGACGATGAGACTATTGATCGCCTTCGTGGGGTGATGGAGTGATTTCCTGGGGTTCGAACCGGAGTTTCCAGAAGAACAACCAGTGTTTAACAGAGCTAATCGGCGTACTCGAGGAGTATTGCCTGGACGTTACGAAGACTTTGTAGTGGGACAAGTGACTGTAAATGACGATCCCGAAGATTGTAGGGAAGCAATTCTAGTGCCAGATTGGAGAAATGCCATGAACGCGGCAATAGCGGCACACGCCGTGAACCATACATGGGAGTTGGTGCTGTTACCCTCTGGGAAGAAACTGATTGGAGTGATGTGGGTCTTCAAGTTAAAGCGGAATGAAGCAGGGAAGGTAGTCAAACACAAGGCGCTTATTGTCGCTAAAGGCTGCACTAAGTTGTTTGGAATTGATTTCACAGAGGTCTACGCTCCGGTTACCCGACAGGCGACGCTACGTGTGCTGTTGGCGGTGGCTAGCAAGAAAGGATTACTGCTGAAACAATATGATTTCAAGACGGCGTACCTTAACGAAACAGTTGACGGGGAATTGTATATGTCCCAGCCACCCGGATATTCTATCAAGGGGAAGGAGAACATGGCTTGCAGATTGCGTAAGAGCATCTATGGACTGCGACAGTCGGCTAGATGCTGGAATAAAACGTTACACGCAGTGCTGCTGGATTTGAAGTTCAAGACTTGTGAATCTGACCCTTGTCTCTACGTACGCCATGGATGGAGTGTCGTCAATCTCGTTGTATACGTTGAAGACCTGATTATTGGCAGTGTTGATGAGAAAGAGATCGATGAAGTATTGAGGAATCTCCGTGACAAGTTCGAAGTGACATCCCTTGGTCAGCTGCATCATTTTCTCGGGTATGAGATCGGAAGGGAAGCTGGTTGCTACTCCATGCGACTGACACCGTGCATACTCCGGAAGTTCAAGATAGATAACTCCCATGCCGTGAAGACACCGATAGATCTAGGGTATATTACAGAGAATGAATGAAGCAAACCGTTCGAAGACACAACGTTGTACAGGAGTTTGATTGGCGCTCAATACTATACCCGATTTGTCGTTGAGCGTGGGTTTGTTGGGACGCAGTCAGCCGAACAACAGCGATTGGAATGCATCAAATACAATACCTGAATGGGAACAAGGATTTCAAGCTAAGCTATGGAACACAGGACGGATGGAAGCTAGTAGGATATTCACACTCTTATTGGGCCGGCGACAGACGTATTCGGCGTTCTACCACGGGATTCATATTCTTTTACAGAGGTGGGCCCGTCAGTTGGGCCAGCAAGGGTTAGGACTCAGTTGCTCTTTCGTCCTAAGGAGACCGAATATAACGCGTTATCCTTGGCCTGCCAGAAAGCGATGTGGCTGAGACGACTATTGGAGGAACTAGAGGAGTCGGAAAGGAATCCGACAGTTATGTACGAGGATAACATGGGATGCCTGAGTTTCTCCAAAACTGAAAGATGTAGTGGCAGAGTGGAGCACATATATACGAAGAGACACTTCATCCGAGATTTGTGTGAACATAAGACTGTCGATTTGGTGTATTGTCCAAGTGAGGAGATGGCCGCCGACGCTTTTACTAAACCAGTCGGTCCGGCTAACCTGAATAAGTTCTTGAGGACGGTAGGACTAAAGAAGTGATTATGGCGGTACTCATCCAGGAGGAGTGTTGGGAATTGATGAGCACCTTGATGTATAACCACCTTGGCTGAAGAGAAAAGTAACTTGATTACTGGCTACCCTGTATTTATCTCGCGAGCTGTAAAGAAAGCTTGCTTGCCAAGTCTCAAGCAATGTTGCATACGAGATCTATAGAATCTATAGAACCGTCAAAGTGATCCAGCGCTGGCTGTTCGTGTTTCGCGAAACTAATAATATTTAAATTGAACGTTGAATGCGTGTACGGCGGTTGAGAAGAAAAAGTTACGTCTGTTTGTCTGTGCTAAAACTGTCCATCTGTGTATATTTTCCTGAATTTCCTCCCCTTGACTACCTGGCTAATTCGGTCTCACCCGCGAAAGAAAACTTCCATGTCCCAATGTCGACCATTTATTTAATTTACCTTCCCACAAACCTAACCTCAATCGGGTTCGTACTGCGGAGGACCAAATCCGCCACGAAGTTGATCTCCTCCAGTCGAGTCACCGGGAGTACCTTGAACCGCAGCAGCGTATTCACCACCACCACCTTCAGTTCCATCATGGCGTACTTCTGCCCAATACAGTTCCTCGGCCCGGCACTGAACGGCACGTAGGCGTAAGGATTCCTCCGGTCCATCTGCATCGAACCGCTCCGGATCGGGAAACTGCTCCGGATCCCGATGCAGGTCGTAGATGTGGATGTTCGCAACACTTCCCGCCGGGATGAGGTTTCCGTCAGCCAGAATGATGTCCTCGGTGATGTTTCGCCCGATGAACGTCACTGGTGGCCACAGGCGGAGGCATTCCTTCAGAGCCCGGTCCAGGAATTTCATCTCAGCGTAATCCTGAGGGGTGAACGACCGGTCTGACTGGGCCTTGCCGGAGTAAATGTGTTCGATTTCAGTGAAGATCTGGTCCTGGACGCTTTGCTCGCGGGCAAGTGTGAAGAATATGAAGACCAAAGCTGCTGCCGTAGTGTCGTGACCTTCGAAGGTGAAGGTGTCCACTTCTTCGCGGATACCTGCCTCGTCGATGAGCAACTTCTGTTCGGCTAGCAGAAGGGAATCCAACATGGCGTAGCGTTTCTTCAGGTTGAGGTAGCTACAAAACAGAGTCTTGGCTGCAGCGGAATCGATTGAAGGATGGACTGGTCAAACTTACATGTTTTCTTCAGTGATGTCGTTGGATTGGACCGAATTCTGCTTGAACTGCTCCCTTCGCTGATTGATGATGCTGCTCGTGAAAGAGTGAACTGGAAGGAGAAGTTTCCGAAAGGCTGCCTTGTAGCCGGTAAGCTGGCAGATGAAGTCGTTCAACAGCCATGGTCGCATCAAGCGATGGATTAGGGCTTCCCCGATTTCGTAGAGCTTCCTGCGGTATTCGTCTGCTCCCGAAACCGAAGACAGCTTCACGCCCATGGATGTCTCTGAGAAGATCAAATTCTGTAATGCGTACTGGAAAGTTTAAAACCATTCATCTTACCGCAAATGGTACTCATGGTAAACTTGGACATCACCGTCTGCAGCGCCGTCGGTATTCCTCGGCCGGCATGCTCATCGAGTGTAGCCAATAGCTGATCGCACTCTTCGACGAACGTCCGATGGAATCCGTTGAGTATGTTGAAGTGGAATGATGGCGTTAGGATTCTACGGCGGTGCATCCACTTGGGTCCGGTACTGTTGAGCAAGCCTAGCCCCAGGAACGGATGAAGAAACTTGTAGAACAGGCTTTTATCGATGTTCTTCGTGCTGGACAGAATGGGTTCGACTTCGCGAACACGAACTACGTTCAACACGCACAGCGAACTGCTGATCCAGAATCGGTAAGATCCGCCATAACGCTTGGGCCACTCTCGAGCCAATCGGAAGGTTTTGGCTAGAACGAAACCGTCAGTTGATGAAGTGTCTTTGACAATGCCCATCTACTGTACCTTGATTCAGGAAGAGAATCTCGCTAAGCGTTCCGATCAGAGGCCAAGATGACGGTCCTGGAAACTTGCTAATAGCCCGATACTGGCGTCCACTTTTGTGGATAAAATCACACAAGCAAAGCAGCAGAACAATGACCCCGACAACGAGCCAACAACTCGTTGAGAATTCCATTATGATGCAAACAACACGACCCTTTCGATTCGACTGTACTTTCTATACTGAGCGAGTAATTTTAACTCGTTATCATCTCCGGCACAGGATTGCAATTATTCAATAAGCCTTTTAAATTATGAAAGAATGCGAGAGATAAGCAAGGCGAATAAGATTATCAACATATGTTTATGTTTATTTTGTTCTGGACCGTCGGTTTGCTGTAATATTTACTGGCTACGCATAGTGCTGGTGGCTTCCCGTTTTGCCAACCGGACTTTGATCGGCGTTTTCGCCCGGAGCACGAGATCTGCCATGAAGACCACCTCCTCACGTGTGGTCACCGGTAGAATGCGATAGTTGACCAGCAGAGCGCAAAGTACGGTTTTCATCTCCAGCAGGGCGTACTTCTGGCCGATACAGTTCCTGGGCCCGGCACTGAACGGGACGTAGGCGTACGGGTTACGCTTGGCGGCGACTTCCGGTAGGAACCGATCCGGATCGAACCGTTCCGGATCGGGAAACTGCTCCGGATCCCGATGCAGGTCATAGATGTGGATGTGGGTGATCGTCCCGTGCGGGAAGGTGGTAGAGCCTGCGGAGAGAAGCGAGTTACCGGAACGTTTACAAAACGAATCTAATACCACTAACCAACATTCAACGGTCCGGAAAGACTTCGCGAGATGAAAGCCACCGGTGGATACAGCCGAAGAGCTTCCTTCACGAAGCGATCCAAGTACTTCAGATTGTTGTAATCGGCAATGGTGAATTCTTCGTGTTCCGACTTTGCACAGCGAGCCTTCGTTAACTCGTGGTAGACTCGCTGTTGAGCTTCCTGCTCGGTAGCCATCAACAGGATCGCGAAAATTAAACCCGCTGCCGTTGTATCATGACCTTCGAACATGAACGTGTCAACTTCTTCCCGTATTCCTTCTTCGTCGATGGCTTCATTCGCTTCCGCCATCAGAAGTGTGTTCAACATGGCGTACCGTTGCTTTGATCCGTATCTGAAATCGTTCTTCCTAATTCAACATACTACAAACGCTGATTTACCTTGACTTACATTCTATCCGCCATCAGACTTTCCAATGTAGAATGCTGCTTTAACTGTTCCCGCTTCTGTCGGATGATACTGCGGGTGAAGTCATGGATCGGTACGATCGCATCCTCCAGCGGCTTGAGGTAACCAAACAGATTGTACATCCCGTCATCGTATAGCCACGGAGTCATCGTCCGGTGAACCAACATCTCACCCACTTCGTAGACCTGCGACCGGTACTTATCTGCGTCCTTGTACGAATCCAACTTGACACCCATCGCCGTCTCTGTAGTCAAGCAACCCAAAATTAGTTCCATCCCATCATCATCCATGAGCAACCTTACCGCAGATCGTATTCAGCGTGAACCTGGTCACGATCGACTGCAGCACAACATCCTCCCCTGAATTGGCGAATTCATTCAACACCCCAACCAACTTGCCTGCCTCCTCCTGAAACACCTGAAGAAAATTGTTCAGGATGTTGAAATGGAACGCCGGGGTCAGTATCTTGCGCCGAGTCTGCCACTTGCTACCCTTGCTGCACAGCAATCCATCGCCCATCAGCGGAGCCAGGAACCGATAGATGATGCTCTTCCGAGTGTGCTTCGTACTGGACAGAATCAGCTCCGCCTCGCGGACCCGTATGATATTCAGAACCACATCCCCAAAGATCCACTGACGGTACGATCGTCCAAACTTCTGGGCACTTGATCGCGCATAGCTGAACGCCTGCATCGGATCCTTGACCAGCACCTCCAGTATGTTCCCCAGCAAAGGGAGCATCACCCCTCCGGGATATTGCAGAGCCGCTCGGTAGGCGTCACTTTGACGCAATCGCCAGTCGTACAGGACAAGTATGATCAAAACCGCGATCGACACCACAAACACCAACGGCAGCATGACTTTAACGCGACCTACAGGGAACTAGGAGCGCGCCAAGATCGAATGCCGTATATAAGCGATCCAGCGTCCCGTGGGAAAAACGGGCCATTGTGAGTGAGTGCTTGAGGGTGAGCAAAAAAAACTGATGAACGTTAATGTTAATCGATATCGTTTAGAAGCTGCTGCACTTACGATGACGTGTTACGTCGCACAATGGGGCAACGATGCCGGTAGCGTGGACATATCCTCTAACGCCGTGGGTATGAATTCTCCAAATCTTCAGACTTCGACAAAGTTGTTTAGTTTACAAAGAGGCTACTTTTGGTGGTTTCTGATTAGTTAGTTTTTATGCCGCATAGGTGGCAGTCGAATCTATCTTTTGAACGGAGCGTCCTACAAGAATGGTTTCTTGAGCAAAGTTTTGAGAAATTTTGTCAAAGACATAAAGCCCTGAGACTCACTGACACTCCGTTAAAAATAATTTTAAAAAATCTAGCGCCACCTATGCGGCATGGATGCGAACTAATCAGAAAACACCAAAAGTTTACCCTTAATAAACTGAGCAACTTTGTCTAAGACTACCTGCACCGTTGCCCCACTGTGCATCGTTTAGATGCATTCGAAAGCACAAGTAGTTCGGGGAAAGTGATTGCAACGGAAGATCACGACGTGCTTTTGCGGGTAGAGATTCGATGGGTGATGTATGTGGATCGACCGAAGGGTTTTTGTTTTTCGTTCTAGGCATAATGTTTTGCTGCTTCTATGGTCAAAGGCCATTTGTCGAGATGTTTGTACAAACTAAAAACAGTCGCGCTCATTTATTGACATCGTGTTCTGTAGTCTTGCTTGGTACCGGACAAAGAAAGATTTAGGTAATCAATTGGATTCGGCGACGATAGTCCCGTTCTTCGTTTATCGCAGAAAGAGCGGTGCCGGTGGTATAGTGGTAAGCATGCTTGCCTCTCACCCCAAAGGTACTTGTTTCAGTCCCAGTCGGCGCCGCCGGGATTTTCTTAGGCATAAAATCTCTGCTCACGCCTTCCTTCGCAAGGGGAGTAAAGCCGTTAGTCCCCAGTCCATGAGTTGATGGATCGATAGGTAGTAGGGTCCAGCATTGGTACTCAGTGCGGAAAACAAATCAAGATAAAAAGGTAAGCGAAAGGGCACCCCTGCAGACAGACCTTCAGTTCAGCTCAATTCTAAATCTATAATTTTCGACTTTGCACTCTGTGAGAACATTTTTCATATTCTTTCAGTTTCTCGCCTGATTCGTTCTACTACTTTTAGCTTTCAATCATGGCTATTTTATTGATCGCTTGAATGAATGAATTATCCGAGGGGGGCGACTCTATCTACGATGCAGAAAAGATTGTGTTTAGCTGTGGCTAGCTGCACGCACGCTGAGTAGATAGAAGGAAGATTTATGTCGGTTTTGAAGATTTCCTGCAAAAAGATGAAGCGCGATGCAAGTAGATGCGAAAAATGAAAGACGATTTTTCGAAGATTGATTCGCTAGTGTGAGATTTTTTGCGCATCTAGAATTGAGATTTAGATGTGTCGCCCCCTTCGGAATTATCCCATAATTGATTCTCTCAAAAATGGTCCGTCAAAACATAATGTTCAAGCTTGCTGTCTCTCACTTGCTGTAAAAAAATATTTTTCGGAATTATGAAATCATTATTGCGAAGTTTTTCTTCAATTATACTCGAGTGATTTTAATTTCGTCGTTCTCAAATTTCGCTTTCGATTTCGTTCTCATTAATCCCACCTTTCCATGACATTTCTTCTGATGTTTACTTTTGACTCCTTTGTTCCAAACCAGCTGTTTAGACCGAGATTTAGACGACGGTAGAGTATGAGAGTACGAATACAAACAGACTGTCACGCACGACAACAAAGCGAGTGTAGTAAAAACATCAACAGTTTCAACCCCTGGTTCCGGCAAAGTGACAGCTAAATCTATTGTCTAACTGTCAAATTTACGTCAACGCAACGCAAACGGATCTAATGTGGGTGGCCCTTTAGAGTACGGCAGTGTGAAAATTGTATAAAGAAAGTAGAAAGCGAGCAAGGACAACTTTGAGGAAGGTACGAATCGGGATGATCATCTCTCTTTACCAAACTCCCCATGTTACCGCGAGGCAATTAATTTAAAACCAAAACCATAAGATAACCACATAGTTGCATCTCGTTTGCATAGCCCTAGCTGACGTTGATACCAAGGCCAAGAATATGAAATGAAAAGTAGGGCAAAAGGGGCGAGAGCTCGTTTTACATAATCTAACTGCAGTATTTACTTAGGAACGTTTCTGCGTTCAAGTGGGATATACACGCCCACGCATGGCATGCTTGCGCATCTAGGTTACGTTTAGCTTTCCCTCTTTGTTTATCCTTAACGAAGGATATAATTATAATGTTTAAACTTTACAAATGTCTCATTCTTATTTGTAGAGCCATATCAGATCTGAGTTACAAAAATAAATAAACTTACAAGATATCTGAGAAATCCCAGATCTGAGAGGGCATAGTATATAAGGTCTAAACAACACAAATTTACCCTTTCAAGGGCGATCGGAATCCTAGCTAATTAGAATAGGCAAATTAGGTTAAAGTTCGGTATTGAAAGGGATATGTTAAACCCTGGACAAATTATGTAAAAGTTTTACATAATTATAAGTTGCTAATGCAACACGTAGCCGTAAGATCACTTTGTACAATTTTGTTGAATAAAATTAAGTTTCGTAGGTTACTCCAGATTCTTCTTTTTTTGAATCCGAAAGAACTTTCGGCCTAGAAGTGAAAACTTCTCTCCTTAACCGGAGAAAAAAGTAGCTCCTAGAATCGAGAAAGAGTGTCTGACCTAGTAAGCGAAAGACTCTCCCTAACCGGAGAAGAAAGTAGCTTTTGGCGACGACCCCAGTTGGAGAGGAATGGTGAGGGATATTCAGTCAAATTGGTTGTCCCATCACATAAGAAGCAATGATACGAAGCAAACATAAAACGCGATTTTCTCGGCTTGCTGATTTTCGCTATGTGACGGACATGCAAAGAGCGGCAGTTCAGTTGGAAGGTAATTCTGACTGCTTCAATGTTTTGGTTTGGCCATTGACCTTCCGGAAATTAGTCCACAATCAGTTGTAAAAATAATATACGTAATATACGGAACGGATAGAGCTCAAATGAGGAAATGTGAACGTGTTTGTGCCTCATAAAAAATCCCATCGACCTCGGCTGGGATTGAACCTAGACCCATTGGGGTAAGAAAGCAGTCACATTTACCACTACACAACCGGCGCCGGCTACATGTTGGATTGTTTCAACAGCTATGATTATCAAATGTTTGACACATGCACACTGCGCAGGCGCACAGATAGGGCAGTGCTGCCAGAAACATGGGGGCCAAACAGTGCCAATGAGTGTGCCCATATCTGTTGTTTTCACACTGTGCCGAGTGACCAACCCCTTGTCTGCCATAGACACAGTAAATATAATAATTTTAAGTAATAGTGAAAATCGTAATACCTTCTCATTCTTACTACAGTATCCTATAGTGGTCCGTAAATGCCCTCGTTGTGACTCCAATTTATATGTATTTTAAATTTCAAAATTGGTTTAAACGAACTATAATTTAGACAACTTTTAAAAATTTATACATAAATCTGAAAAGCATGGCCCACTTAGTAATGGAATAATATCATTTGGGTCTATTCTGGATTTAAAGTAACGGATTTGAAAACGGTTTTCACTAGTGCAAGTGTTTTAAGACAAAAATACGAAACGAATTATTCGTCGCGGTTTCGAAGGAATTCTCAAATTTTTCCCTTAATACGACCCATCAAGCGGCGCACAACTGTTTTAGCGATTTTATCCCGCCAATATTCATCTGAGCTGCCGTTTTGATGACTGTACCTTTTACCTTCAGTTTCATCTTCATAATTAATCATTTTGTTCGACCATTTTCCACAGAGATGGCGCTGTTCCGCTGGTAGGAAGTGATAAAAATCCCCATATAGAAATTGAGAGAAGTGGGAATAATTCGCTTTCGGTGCATATTCAGGTGAAAAAAGTGAACGACAACCTAAAGAAATGAATCAGGGACTTTGTCGTTCAGTTTTTTCCCGGAAATTATTGTTAAACAAGCTACAATTAATTAAAAATGATTTTTCCCCATACAATTTTACCTGCATTACTACCAGTTCCCAGAGAGCCAAAAAAATTCAAATTTGAGAGAGAAATTCTCTCTCACGAGCTCAATCTCTCAACATGCCATGTATTTTGTTGACACTCGATTTGTGATTTCCCTTTCACAGATTACAAAATAGAGTACCTGACACTACAAAACATATCTGGTACCTCTATATATGCATTTGCTTTATCATTTGAAGTCCCTTCCGTTTTTACATATTCTGCGCAAAAGATACTTTATGCCCCGCCCCATACATAAAACTCGGCGGGAAATTCTGTGAGGGGTGAGCTATTTTGTGTGCAGAATGTGTGAAAAAGGAGGGGCTTCGAATAATAATCTAAGTGCATACATAGAGGTACCAGACATGTTTTGCACTGCAGTGTCCTCTGTGAACAATTATAGGAAAAAAGATTGTGTCTAGTTTCCGATAGATGTCACCGCAATCAACAGCTGCGACATCTGATGGAACATTAATGCAGAAGCTTGACAAAATGATCAATTGCCCAGTAGTTTTCAATGGGCCTGAACTGGGGACAATGACTCCGTTGTCATTGTACCATTGTTGCACTTCCCGGCTGTAGTGACAACGCGCAAGATCCGGCAAAATCTCACCGGACCATCATGTGGCAGAATTCGCTTCTGGAGACATTCGGTTTTGTAAACCTCCGAGTTCATCGTTTTCTCAGTGACGAAAACTTTTGTCTTCTGACCTGTAGCGACAAATTCCCTGCCAGATCATGTATTTGCGTGCGAATTTATCCGCAAAAACAAATTTGAATCTGCCAGGGACGCCTCCTTGAGCCTTCGCCTTGTAAAATTTGGGTCCTGGAAGCTGTTCCGGAGTCGGCCTTTACATTAATTTACATCATC